AGTTTCGTCCTTTTGCTGTGTATGCCTTGCTTTTCTGCTATGTTTTTAGTCATGATGGCGTGCACAGATGTGGCATGAGTTAAGTAAGATAGACTTCTTTTTTGCTTAAGGCTTGCCACTGATCTTTTTAAGATGCCAAAAGGGGGAAAAATAAATAAGGGGGAACAGAGGGGGAACAAATTCAGGGGGATACATGAAATGCAAATGTTATTCTGGTTCTTAGGGGGAGCTTAAATTATAAGTTTGTCATCATCAAAAAGGGAGAAATTGATAGGTTATATGTGTCTCCCTGTTATGTTTTGATGATCTAACAAACTTATTGTTAAGAACCAGATAAGGAACCTGTTACACATCCTTAAGAACTTAAGATCAACAAGTCTCCAGTCGTTGACACGGTCCAACTCTTTAGAGTCAAAGAAACAATAGAGGGAACAGATAGCTACCAGTTCCTGTGGCGACTGTACAAGTTAACCCCCAAGTTGTAAAGTTGCTGCCGGTACACGCAACAATGCAAAAATAGTGTAGCAGTCAACTTTATGTGGAATGCCCTTTACCTAACTTGCTTGCATCATTCAAGTGATGTCACAAATGAATTATTAACATCAAGCAAAGGTAAAAAAATACTTGCACATTCAAGAATCTATCAAGAATTCTCTCAAGTGATCCATCAATTTGGCAAGTGACTCTTAAGGGCATCAAGAACAAAGAACAACATAACAACGGACCGGTTCCATGTATCGAGTTATTACATGTCCTTAGTTGTGTTGCAACTTTGTTAATGTACTCTACTTGTAATTCCTGCTTAGCTTAGTTAGAAGCATTGTGTAGGAAATCTCTGTAAATCATAAACCTTTGTGTTTGTGTCTTGGCTAGAGTTAGCCGAGTTGTAAGTCTTTGTAATAGAGGTATTACAAAGTGGCTTGTAATAGAGTTGTTACAAGTTAGTGAAGGATTAAGAGGTTAATTTATAGGTTACAATAGGTTGTAATATAAAGTTTGCTTATTAGTGAAGTTGAAATCCTACATGGGTAGGCCGTGGTTTATAATCCCGTGAGCTGGGAGTTTTCCACGTACAACTCCATTGTGTCATTTACTTACTGCACTGTGCGTGTGTTCTATGTGAACTAATAGAGAATCTGTTTCTCTATATAGTTTGGTGGACCCTTAGTTTCTATTATTCTACAAAAGCAATCCTGATTGGCAAGGAGAGATGGGCAGACACACAGTTCAAAAATCTGTAGGGGTCCTCGATTTTGACGTTGTTTCTGTAATATCAACGCAGGTTGCCATATTGGCCAACCAAGTCAGTAATATGACCTTGGTTATTAACAAGCTACAAGCTTAGACAGTGCAATAGGTTCATATATTTTGTGAAGTATGTGGAGAGGGTCACACGAGCGACTTAAGCCCAACTAATCCAGAGTCTATTTATTTTATGGGTAATGCAAATAGGGGCCAGACAAACCTGTACGAGAACACTTACAATCCTAACTAGAGGAACCACCCAAACTTCTCTTGGGGTGGAAACCAAGGTGCTCAGAATCAGTACAGGCCACAAGCTGCTCAACAACAATATAGACCACCACAGGCTGAATAATCTACAAACTCACGAGTCACATTGAAGAGATGTTAAAGAAACTGATGGCACACAAGCAGGCCCAAGCAGTAGCGATGAGAAATTTGGAGCGACAAATGGGTCAACTTTCCAGTGCCCAAAATACTCGACCAGTTGGAGCTCTTCCAAGCGACACTGAAGCTAATCTTAAGGAATATATTAATGTTGTGTCATTAAGGAATGAGAGACATTTATAAGAAGTCCCATCGAAAAAGAGGAAGCAAGTGACCTTTAATGAGAAATAGACCACCGTAGAAGTAGAATCAGAAAAAGAAAAGGAGTCATAGAAGCCAGTTGAAGAGGAAGTGGCTAAGCAACCCCCACCATTAGTTGCGAGGCGACCACCTCCGTTCCCTTAGGAATTGTAGAATATGAAGGATAATGCGGCTTATAAAAAGTTTCTTGATATTTTGAAGTTGGTGCGAATTAATATTTCGCTGGTAGACATCTTACAAGAAGTTCCCAAATATGCCAAATATATCAAGTACATAGTGGAAAATAAGAGAAGGTTGACAAAGTTCGAGACTGTGGCACTCACTGAAGAATGTAGATCAAGAATTCAAAGCAAACTACTCAGAAATTGAAGGATCCATGTAGTAATTTAACTATCCAAATCTTGATTGGTAAGCACACAGTTGGGAAAGCATTGTGCGACCTTGGGCATCAATTTGATGACGCTATCTGTGTTCAGACAGTTAGGGTTGGGTGAGCCGCGCCCAACCGCGGTGATTTTACAGTTGGCTGATCGTTCCCTTGCTCATCCTGAATGAATGATTGAAGATGTGTTAGTGCAAGTGGGTTCTTTCATATACCCTATTGATTTTATTATCTTGGACTATGAGCCTGATCAGGAATTCCCATTTATTTTGGGGTGTCCATTCTTAGCCACGGGCCGAGCTATTATCGATGCATGTGAAGGAAAGATGACAATGAGAGTGGGTGATCGAGTGGAGGTATTCAATGTGTATAAAGCACTCGATTGCCAGACCACAATGAAGAGTTATCCATGATTCTTATGGTGGAAAGTGATGTGGCTTCATTGGTGCCTTATATGAGCCCCATAGATCCTCCTGAACGAGCCTTGATAGGGGATGAAGAAGATAATAAAGATGAGATGATGGAAGAAATTGAGCAAGTCCTTAACAAGTCAAGCAAGTATGTCCATGGGCTTGGAAGATTTGAAGACTTGGACAGACCTGTTACTCTGACCCCTCCTAAACCATCTATTGACGAAGCTCCAAATCTAGAGCTTAAACCTCTTCCAGCGCACCTGGGCTATGCTTACTTAGAGAATTCTGAAACATTGCTAGTGATTATCTCATCCAGGTTGGCCGATGTGCGAGAACAAAAGCTGCTTAGAGTGCTTCGTGAGCATAAAAAAGCTATTGGGTGGACAATTGCTGATATCAAAGGAATCAATCCATCATGTTGCATGCATATAATCTTTTTGGAAGATGGACACCACCCCAGTGTTGAGCAACAAAGAAGATTAAATCCTATTATGAAAGAGGTCGTAAAGAAGGAAGTAATTAAGTGGCTTGATGCATGTATCATCTTCCCTATTTTTTACAGCAACTGGGTGAGCCCAGTGCAATTTATTCCCAGAAAGGGAGGATGACTGTTGTAGAGAATGAGAAAAATGAGCTAATTTCTACTCGCACTTTGACGGGGTGGAGAGTTTGCATTGATTACAGAAGGCTCAATAAAGCAACCTGCAAGGACCACTTTCCACTCCCATTAACTGCCCAAATGTTGATCACATTGGCGGGGCATGAATATTATTGCTTCCTTGTTGGTTATTCGGGTACAACCAGATTGTTATATGCCTAGAGGATCAGGAGAAGACCACTTTTACGTGTCTTTGTGGTACTTTTGCTTTCAAGCGAATGCCATTTGGACTTTGTAATGCACCGACCACTTTTCGAGGTGTATGACGGCCATTTTCACTGATATGATGGAGCAATTCGTACAAGTCTCTATGTTTGATTTTCCAGTATTTGGGTCTTCTTATGATGACTATTTGAAGAATTTGGGCAAGGTGTTGGCCTTTTGTGAAAAAACAAATTTAGCGCTAAATTAGGAAAATTGCCATTTTATGGTACAAGAAAGCACCGTGTTGGGCCATAGAGTGTCAAGGAGTGGCATTGAAGTTGATAAGGTGAAGGTGGAGGCGGTTGAAAAATTACCTCCACCCATTTCTATAAAGGGTTTCCAAAGTTTCTTGGGACATGCGGAGTTCTATAGATGCTTTATTAAAGATTGTTCAAAAATTGCTACTCCTTTGTGCAGGTTGCCTGAAAAGGATGTAACCTTCAATTTTGAAGAAGCATGCCTGAAGGCATTCGAGGAGCTCAAAAATAAGTTAGTGGTTGCCCCCATTGTTGTGTCACCGGATTGGTTCTTACCATTTGAACTTATGTGTGATGCATGTGACCATACTATTGGGGCAGCGCTCGGCCAAATGAAGGAAAGATGTTCTACTCCATATACTATGCGAGTAAGACTCTTGATGATGCACAACTGAATTACACCACCACTGAACAAGAGTTGTTGGTCGTTGCGTGGGCCTTGAGAAAATTCAGGCATACTTGGTGAAAACAAAAGTTATAGTCCATACCGATCTGCTGGGTTTTGTTCTTGCAGGAATTTGGTGTAGAAATACGAGATCGGAAGGGCACAGAAAACCAAGTAGCCGACCATCTATCAAGGCTGGAAAATCATGAGCACGTAGAGGAAGGTGGACAAATTAAGGAGGCATTTCCTAATGAGCAACTTTTTGTTATCACCCAAGACCCTCCCCCATGGTACGTGGATTATGTGAATTATATTGTGAGTGGGGCACTTCCTTCTGAAATTGAATTTGAAGCTAGAAAGAGGTTTCTACATGATCTGAATTTTTACTGCTAGGATGAGCCATTCTTGTACTGATAGTGTGCTGATCAGTTGATGAGGAGATGCATTCTTGGAAAGGAGGTGGAATTACTGTTGTATGATTATCAAGCCTCATCGCAGGGAGGCCATCATAGAGGCGATAAGACAACTGCAAAAGTTTTACAGTCCGGGTTCTTTTGGCCAGCATTGTTCAAGGATGCCCATGCTTTTGTTAAGAAGTGTGACCAATATCAGAGAACATGAACAATTACAAAGAGGCATGAGATGCCTTTGAATAACATCCTAGAGGTATAGATTTTTGATATGTGGGGGATAGACTTCATGGGACCATTCCCATTGTCTAGAGGAAACAAATATATCTTGATAGCGGTTAACTACGTGTCAAAATGGGTAGAGGCTATCGCATTGCCAACCAATGATGCCAAGGTGGTATCTGCTTTTGTGAAGAAAAATTTATTCTCAAGGTTTGGGACTCCACGTGCCTTTATTATTGATGACGGGAAATATTTCTGCAATCGGTTGTTGGATTCTAGCTAAATATGGGGTCCGCCATAGAGTTGCCATGACATATCATCCGCAAACAAGTGGACAAGCTGAGGAGTCCAACAGAGAGATAAGGCAAATATTGGAGAAGACAGTGAGTGTGAATAGGAAGGATTGGGCTGCAAAGTTATATGACGCCTTATGGGCACATAGAATTGCATAAAAAACACCAATTGGGGCATCCCCGTATAAGCTTGTTTATGGGAAGGCATGTCACTTTCTAGTTGAACTTGAATACAAGGCGTATTGGGCAATTAAAAAGTTGAATATGCACTTTGAAGCCGCGGACGAGAAGAGGCTCTTGCAGTTGAATGAGTTAGATGAGTTCAGACTGCACTCTTATGAATATGCTAAGCTTTACAAGGAGAAAACAAAAAGATGGCATGACAAGCGTATCAAGTCACGTCACTTTGAACTGGAAAAAAGATTACTATTGTTAAATTCTAGGCTTAAGCTGTTTACTGGGAAGTTAAAATCGAGGTGGTCAGGTCCATTTGAGGTGGTGAGAGTCACTCCTTATGGTGCAATTGAGTTGCGCGCTTTAAATGGTGAAAGAAATTTTTTAGTGAATGGGCAAAGAGTCAAGCACTATTGGGGAGGTGTTATTGATCGTGAGAAGTCCAAAGTAATACTCCCTGATGATTAAGTGAGGCCATGCATCATGCCGCGACGTTAAATCAGGCGCTTGTTGGGAGGCAACCCAATTTTCATTTCTTTCATAGCTTAACTTTTCATTTCTTTTAGTTAGAGTAGACTAGATATTTTGTTTTCATTGTAGACATAAAAATCATAGGTAGAATGGTGTGGGTTATATAAATTGGATATATAAAGTGCTCGGGGGATCGGGGATTTCTGCAAAAAAAAAAAAAATATTTCGGTGGACTAGCGCCTAGCGCTACCTGGGGCGCACAAAATAGAATCATCAATTCCCCCAGCGCTAGGCCTAGCGAGACGCGCTAGGCTGGGGGCAGGTAAGTTAATTTTTTCTTTTCTTTTTTGTTTTATTGTTTTTACTAACCCATACCCATAAAACCCGACACACTTACCCGTTTCTACTCATACCTTAACCCATATCCTTACCATATCCAAACCCCTCCTAATTAAAATAACTCTAACCCCCCTAAGCCCTTCTCTCTCTCTCCCCCCGCTACTCTCTCCTCCCCTCTGCTCGTATCTCTATCTCCCACCCTCTCTCAATTCTTATAGTTTTGTTTTCTCTTGCATTCATCTATAATTATCCCAGGTATGTTTCTCTTCTCCCTTTTTCTTTTATTTTATAAGTTATATTCCCCATCCCCCCTCCTGAACACCCATTCCCTAATTCCCCCGTAAGTTGCTTCGTAGAACTTGTTTCTATGGTGGGTGGCCCGATGTGGAACGAAATTGGTTGTTACAACTTGATAGTTGTGTTGTATGCGGAGTAGTAAACAAAAAATCCCTCTACTTCATTAATATTTGGGAGGGCCGCCATGTTCCACCATTGTTGAATTGAGTTGCACACACTTCATTCCCTCCATGTGTTTGATAAAATACTTGAAAGAGTACTATGTACACCGGTGAAGTCTATGTAGCCACGTGTAGTTGTATGTGATATCGGGCTAAGTGTGGGGTATTTGGAGGTGGTTTTACATAACACGAAGCTTGTTTTTAATGTTCACATGCTATAACAATGCCACCTACACCATTTATCTTGTATTATGTATGTTGTAGCACTTTATTAGAATTACCTAGTGTAGTGTATTAGTTGTAGAGATTGAGGACCATGTGTTACTTGCTTGCACTAAGGCTAAGTCACTTCGCCATGTTCGACCACTTGATTTGTGTGGCATGGTTAGTGAATTATGATTGTGTGCCATGGGAAAGTCTTGAGTACCCATCGTTGTGTCAAGCTGCTGGATAGAGTCATCAATGGCTCCAAGGCTCATGCCACACCTTATGGGTTTATACTGACAACTGTCTTGGCCAAGTTAGATGTGCCATTGAAAAAGTGGGAGATGGCCTCCAGCAAAGAGCACTTTGGAATCAAAACTCTGCAGGCTTGTGACTATCTGCTAAGTGTAACCCCAGTTGAACCTGGTTCATCCTTGAAGACTCCTGTGAACAGCAAAGTTAGGGCATTGGTTCTAGAGTGTGAAACAAAAGATGCAGAAATTGCTAGGCTCCAGGCTCGTATTACTGAACTAGAAAGTGAAAGAAATGGCCTCAAAGCTGAGCTAGCAAAGGAAGAGGAAAAGAGTGAAGGGATGGTCCAAACAATGCTTAATCTTCTTCAATCCCAACCCTCTAGTTCCTCCAAGCCCTAGAACCAGTTTAGAAACTCGCTCAGTGACGCAGATTCGGGACTTTTCTGTTTTTTGCTCATGGTTGGAAATTTGTTTTTCTTTTTGTGGTCTGCTTTGTAGAAACACCTCCTAATCAATGACAATGTGCTTTGTTTTCTCTTGTATTATGAAACTTCTGATCTTAATAGCTAAATTTCTTGTGAAGTTGATTATTGATTAACTGAATCATGTTTTCACTTGCAGTTGCCTAGTGGCCATGAGTACTAATTAACATCTGGGATTCATATAATATGCAACTTTTCGATGATGCCAAAAGGGGGAAGAGATATTGTGCTTTACTTTGTATTCTGAAATAAAGTGATATTTATAACCTGATTAAACCTGGTCCTTAATGATAAGTTAAATTACTGTGTGATAATTAAGCTGAGTTCCACAGGGTCTCTAATCAATAAAAGCATAGAGTTTGTCATCATCAAAAAGGGGGAATTTGTTGGCCCAAGTTCAGATGAAGTTTTGAAGATTGACAAAATAAACTGTCATGAACCAGGTCCATCATGTGAGACAGACACAGTGTTGATATACTTATACACGTGACATACTTGTGAAGATAAGTCTCAAGGGTCAGCAACAATATCTTCTGAGTTGATCGAAAAGGTTGCATAGGATAAGGAGTTGAAGTCTCCTTATGTGAAGAGAACTACATCCGGATAAAGAATAAGGATTGGAGTTTGAATTGTTCTAGGACTCGAATTTGATGAAGGATCAGCAATTCGAGTTTTAATCAAACTCTGATTACTAACTCTATAAATAATAATGATTGTTCTCTTTTACAGGGTAGCACACAAACGCAGAAGTGAAACTAAATTGAAGAGCAAAATAGCAAGGGTTTTTGCAAGCAATTTACGTGAGATTCAAGTGTGCATTCCTGGAGCTACTTGGACAAGATAGAAGAACCAATTCCATTGTGTCTTTCTTTTATTCTAGTTCAATTGTAGTAGGTGTTTTAAAATTGTACCTTTCAGCTTTCATAGAAGCAATTGTATTAGGTACTTTGGGGTATTCAAGTTAGAGTTAACTTGAAAGTGTCACAGCAGTTGAGGCTGTGTGCCACACTGTGATTAGAGTTTAATCCTTAGGTTTACAAAGAGTTTTGTAAATGCTGTTTTGGCTCAGTGATTTTAGTGGAAATTTGGAAAAATCCTACTGAGTAGTAGGTCGTGATTTTTTCACCTTTTGAGCCAGGTGTTTTCCACGTAAAAATCTCTGTGTTCTTTATTTTATGCACTCTTAATTCCGCAAACAGTTTTAATAAGTACATCTAGAAGAACCAGGTTCTTCTAGTATGAAAATTAGGTACCACACAAATCACCCCCCTCTTGTGTGGTATTGACGTCTAGAACATCAATTGGTATCAGAGCAGGTTATCCTTGAAGAGGCTAACACCTTAGGAGAAGATCAACAATGAGTGCACCACCTGGGAACCGGGAAGGGCAATCCACTGCTAGGCCTCCACTTTTCAATGGTCAGTACTATTCTTGGTGGAAAAATAGGATGAGAGATCACATCATAGGGGAAGACTATGAACTCTGGGGCATAGTCACTGATGGTCCCCTAGCAACCACAAAGAAGAATGTTGAAGAAGTTGATGTGCCAAAGACAAGAGCTGATTGCAATGCTGAAGATTTGAAGAAATGGGAAAAGAATGCCAAGGCCAAAATATGGCTTGTGTGTGGATTAGGACCAGACGAGTACAGCAGGATTCAAAACTGCACCACTGCTAAGGAAATCTGGGACACTTTGCAAGTGGCTCATGAAGGAACACCTCAAGTGAAGAGGTCCAGAGCAACACTGCTGTATTCTCAATATGAGAATTTCACCATGAAGGAAGGGGAAACCATACAAGAGATGTATACAAGGTTCACCACACTCACAAATGAACTTAAGTCTCTTGGAAGGGTTATTCTTGAAGAAGACAAGGTTGAGAAGATTCTGACAAGAGTTCTACCAGTCAAATGGGAAAGCAAAATCACTACCATTCAGGAATCCAAGAATATTGCTACCCTTAGACTGGATGAACTGATTGGAAACTTAACTGCCTATGAAATGAGGAGACAAACCATGAAGATGGATACCCCCAAAAAGGAGAGAAGCTTGGCTCTCAGAATTGCTGAAGGTGCAGATTTGGAAGAAGATGAAGTGACTATGATCACTAGGGATTTCAAGAAGTACTTGATGAGAGGAAAGAGTTCTTCAAGAGGTACAAACTTCAATAAAATAAGCGCTCCGGAGAAACAGACCAATGAGGGATGCTACAAGTGTGGTAAGACTGACCACATGATCAAAAACTGCCCTCAATGGGAAATTGAGTGGAAGAAAGAAAGAGCTTAACGAAGGAACAGGAAGAAGGAACAGGTTCAACCAAAGAAAAACAAAGGTTCAACCAAGGCTATGGTTGCTGCTTGGGGAGAAACCTCAGATGAAGACTCAGAAGATGAAGCTGAGGAGGAGCGAGTACTAATGGCCATCGGTGAATCAGATGATGAACAAGAGGTAAGTATTCTTCATCTCAAAGACAAGATTAAATTCTTGTCTAAAGAAAGGCTGGCTGAGCTATTAATAGACTTCATTGATGAGTCTGAGATAATTAATAATGAGAAGAAAGTTCTGTCTAGGGAATGTGTGATTCTAAAAGCAAAATGTAAAAGTCTAGAGTCTAGGGCAAATGAGAGTGATAACAAAAATGCTGAGTTTAAGAACCAATTCTTGAACTTGATAACAGTGTCCTAGAGCTTAGGTCTGAAAACTTAAAACTGAAATTAGAAACAGGAAAGAAGAAAGCTGATCACACATATCTCACTCTAGAAGAAAATTTGGGAAAAATGAAAGATGAATTCATTAAAGTCTTGAAGAAGATCTAGGAAAGGTAAAACATGAACTAGACAGAACTTGCAAGTGGAACAAGGCTTCTGATGCTCTCTCCTAGCTGCAAGAGCATCATAGTAGTAACAAAAGAGGACTTGGCTATGGGACTCAAGCTCCTAAATGGGATCCAAAAAGCAAGTACCTCACTCTTCCTGAAAATAAAATCTGCACACACTGTGGTAAGACTGGCCATTACAAATATGAATGTAACGCAAAAGAAAAGGCCAGTCAAAGAAACAAAGCTTTTGTTCAAGAAAAGCACAAGCTGCCTAGTTGGGCAAGAAAGAATCTGATTCATCCTTTTGCCCATAGAAAGGGACCCAAACTAGTTTGGGTTCCTAAGACTAACCCCTGATTTCCTTTTGCAGGTCCAAGTGAAAGGGAGGAGCCAAATATGGTATATGGACAGTGGCTGCTCAAAACATATGACTGGGGACAAGGA